GATTACCATGATATTTACCTGCGCTCTGATGTTGTACTCCTAGCCGATGTCTTCCAAAGCTTCAGGAAGATGTCTATGGAATACTATGGGTTAGACCCTGCTAACTTCTACACAGCTCCTGGACTTAGTTGGAGTGCACTGCTTAAGAAGACGAATGCTCAATTAGACCTTCTGACAGAATACGACATGTACAGATTCATGGAAGATGGTATCCGTGGTGGCGTCTGTGGACCCAGCAGACGTTATGCAAAAGCGAACAATCATATGGTAGAACACGACCCCGAGGAACCAAGCACATACATCTACTACCTAGACGCTAACAACCTCTATGGTTGGGCAATGTCGCAGTATYTACCCGTCAGAGACTTTGAGTGGGATAAAGTTAAAYCCATAGACTTCTACCTTAAAGTAGGAAAAGAAGAAGATAAAGGTTATGTCTTGGAAGTAGACCTGGAATACCCAGAGAACCTGCATGACGAACACAATGRATATCCCTTAGCGCCAGAAGCAATCGAAATACCATTCAGGCAATTAAGCCCACTGCAAAAGAAGATGTGTCCCAGTTATAAGCCATACAGGAAATTAACGATGAACCTGATGGATAARAATAAGTATGTGGTGCATTACAGGAACCTGCAATTCTACRTTAAACATGGAATGAAGGTCAAGAAGATACACAGAGTCCTGAAGTTCACGCAGGAGCCTTGGATGCAGCCTTACATAGACTTTAACACCACGAAGCGGACTGCTGCAAAGAACGACTTCGAGAAGAACCTCTTTAAGCTGATGAATAACAGYGTCTTTGGTAAGACTATGGAAAACATCCGTAAAAGAGTTAGCATAAAGATAGCCAGCACCAAAGAAGAAGCAGAGTCCTATGTATCACAACCAGGATTCCAACGTTACGTGAAGATGCTGGACTTCTATGTGATACACATGAAGAAAGCTAATCTGCTGTTGAATAAGCCCGTYTATACAGGCTTTGCAGTGCTGGACTTGTCGAAGTTGTTGATGTATGAGTTCTACTACGACAAACTTAAACCAAAGTACGGGGATAAGTGTAGTCTATTGTACACMGACACCGATTCCCTCATCCTAGAAATACAGACAGAAGACGTCTACAAGGACTGCCTACCTGACATAGATGAGTATGACACCAGCGGATATCCAAGGGATCACTTCCTGTACTCTGCAAAGAACAAGAAAGTCATTGGTAAGATGAAGGACGAGATGCTGGGTAAGCCCATATTGGAGTATGTAGGCTTAAAACCAAAGATGTACAGCATCCAGAAGTCGGATGG